TAGTAAAGCTTGAATTGTAACCACCCGAATTTTTTTTACTATTTTTCATATGGGGCTTAAACTTAGCCCTCGTTTGGCTCCCTTTAAAACTCTTTAATTTAATTTAATTTTTTCTCTCCTATTTTTAATCACACAATTTTCAATAAAATAATATTATACTTAAATCGAAAACTTTTCAACCACACAATTTTCAAAAAAACACTACTCTCCCCATTATAAATTCAAATAATGGGGGCCCAATAGGAACTTAATATTAGTCATTTAGCAAATGAAACAGTCCATGCCAACCTTGACGTCACACTAAAGTCAGAAAGTAGAAACAATAAATACAACCCACTTATTTGTATAAATAATTAATTTTACTTACGCGTACTTTTTAGAATTTATCGTAAATCATTTGGGTCGAATAATTAAGTATTTTAGTAGTTGACAAAAATATATCGATATTATACTCATTTTGTAGTTCATATTAAATAATATAAATTAGGCTCAAGAAAAAAGTAATTTTGAGCTAATTATGCTCGAGTTATCCTAATGAAAAGAAAAAGTATTATAGTCAAATATTTTAATAATAATAAAGAAATCAAGGACGGAAGTTTCAGGTAGGAATTTGAAAACATATTAAACATAATTATCATTAATTTTGATAATAACTAAAATAATTAACTCTTAATTAACCTAAAAAGCATTTATTTGAATTATAATAACCTGAAATGCTCTAATTGAATTACGTTTCCAACGTTTTGAGATTCCTTAAAGGTTACATGTGAGTGATTTATATAGGGTGTAAGGTGAGAGTATTTTGTGTTAGAAATTTCATAAGACCATTTTTATTTTAACACACAGACACTCTATTCACTTCTACATTACTATTTCAAATCAATTTTTTTTAGATAAACTATTGGATATCACTTGAGGTAAGAATACATAGTGCAAAGTGGTGAATTCTTATTTCTTGATGTTTATATAAATTTTGACATAAAAGACTTTAAGGCCTTCGGGTAGTTTTTAAGTTAAATTCTACGGGATAAACCGTTAGGTCAAACATGTTAAATCCTACGGGATAGACCGTTTGGTCAAATATGTAAATCCTACGGGATATAAGAATTCTCATGAAATTTCTTGAACTATTGGATATCGCGACCAGTTTTCTCTTAATTTAAGAAATATCGGTATGTCATGTCATTTTATATTTATATCATGTTAATAAGAATATGCACATATTTCTTACAGAGTGTTTTTCAAAACTCACTCTTACAATGACTTTTCAGATAAGAATGAGTCATGTGAACGAGTGGAAGATTGACCGAGTGATGATCGCCAAGTAAAAATCTTTTTCATCTTCACTATTTTATTATTTTATAAAAATAGGCTCGAGGTATTACCAAAATCTTCTTTATCTAATTTAAGTGGAAATATCACTTTTATTACGTGTTGAAATTTGAAAATGAGATCGATAATTCAATAACGATAAAATAACGACTTAAGTAAAATTTTCATATTTAATATAATTCTTGAAATACTCAATTCCAAGCTATTAGTTTAAGATTTAATATAAAATGTCAAATGTTGGATCTCTAAAAATATTAAATAACTTGCATTAACATAAAGATGTTATTCAAATAAAAGTTGACAATAATATTTTCTGGTTGATTTCATTCATATGCAGTTATTGTCCGTATGAGTTGAGTTTGTCTGAGATGATCGATATTTAGTTTTCTAAGAACAAATACTATTAAAATAATTGGTATCTTCATGAAATGGTTGAGGTTGCACTAATTGGAGTTGAGAGAACTGGTTAAAATTGTTGGAACTGCGAGGAAATTTGTACGCAAATGTCATTAGATGCGTCGCTTAGAAAAGCAACAGAAGCACTATTGGTTGTAATTTGCAAATCTAGTGGAATAGCAAGACTTGAGATTACATAACATGATACTCAAGGTTTTGAATTTGTGTTTAACCATCGAAATGGGCACTGATAGAGCCGTGTAGTAATGAAAGACATGCATAATCATGTATGGAATGGGCTCGACCTTTGTGTTGCGTTGTTCAGTTGGTAGAGTTTATAAATTTACTTTTATTTTGAATTTTGATGAATGTTTTATTAGTGAATGGGAGATTGGCAAATTTTTTTCCCTCAATTTTCAAACACTCTCTGTGGAGGCGACTTTTGGAGGCATTTTTCCCCAGTTTCCATATATAATGCAATATCTAGATTTTTATATAAAATTATACGATGCATGTAAGCTTACCGAGGGATAATGTAACTATAAGAGTGTGTTTGATTGACATGGAAAATACCACCTAGAAAATAAAATGTTTTCCATCTTTTGTGGAAAATAAAAACCACCTCTACCCAAGGAAAATATTTTCCTTAAAAACAAGGAAAATTAGGCATATTTTCAAAAGTTGAAAAATGTTTTCCATGGAAACAAATAGCAATCAAACACTCCAAATAGGAATTTGAGTGGAAAACTGATATTTTCCATAGAAAATAAATGTAATCAAAAATCTTAGGATGCGTTTGATTGTAAGCATGAAATTTGTATGGAAAGAAAATAAATTTTAAGTAATTCAATCATTTAGAACTTATTTGTATGGAAATTATCAATTAAATGTGTTTTTTATTTAATTTTCAACCTAAAAAATATTATACTTGTCAGATTTTTTTTTTTGTTGGTAGATGAGAGAGAGAGAGAGAGAAAAGGTGAATTCCCCGGAAAATAAAATTCTACTTTCCCCAAAGAAATATTTTTCTTGATTTTTTATAGAATAAAAGTAGGAAAATATTTTACATAAAATAAAAATATCAGTCAAATATCACAAAAGTAAGAATTTTGGCGGAAAAATACATTTTCCATAAAGAATATTGGCAATCAAATGGACCCTTGGTCAATATATTGTGGCTTTGTTTCAGACTTTTAAGGAAGCTGATACTAAAAAGGTTGAACCTCATCCTTAAGGGTCCCCCACTGTCCCACTCCTGGAGCATCGTGAGAGAGTTAATCGTGAGATGTGCCCCAACAGGCTAGAGAACAAGAGCTGCATGTACACTGGTGCCCACAAAAAGTCTCAATCCATATTTTAGGAATCGAACCCTCACACTGCAGCTACTAGTAAGGCTGAGTATACTTCACCATTGTCCTTTGCACCATTGAGATATGTCCCGGGGAACATGAAGGGAAGATTGACAAAGAAGAATGGCAGACCCTTGTATTGCAACATCCATCTCTTTTGAAGAATATGACCCTTTAATACCTCAAGTAAGTGTATTGTACCTTATTGATGTGATTTTTTTACCTTAAGTCAAGGTTTTTTTTATTTTTTTTTTCCTTGGCTGGTAGACAATACACATTAAGCACTATAGCATCCTACACGTAATCTATTACGAATAATACCTGAATTTGATGACTCGTTCGATAAAGTATATTAGTACAATATTAATAGAGAAAAAGAAACTATAATTTTATCTATTGCAATGTCTAGTACTGTCCACTGCCGTGCACCATAGTGCCCCGAATGCATTTTCTGGCTGCTGAATCTGATTTTTTTTTTTTTTTGATACAGAGACATCGCCACCACATTCCCGAGCTTTGTATTTTACTCACAAGTTGATGGTACCTGAGTTCCGAGGCTCTCTGGTGAGACGATGTGGCCATTCTGTATGTTGACAATTAGAAGCAAAGCTCTGGCTTGATAGGATGCCGAGAGGCTGCATCAAGCCTTAGCTAGTTGGCAAATTGTTAGACTGCATATTTTCCTGTTCAAAATTTTAAATATTGTATCATATTAGATTTCTTGTTCGAATGGATGCTTCCATTTGTTGTTTTTGGTTTTATTTGAATCTGAAAGAAGGTGTCCGTCTTCAATTTTATTTCAAATGAATTCAGATACAGATTATAACGGAACTGGATTCTTACCGTATATATATATATATATATATATATATATATATATATTTCGTGAGGGGTGTCAAACAATCTAGGTCATCCAACTCTGAGCAGGCTTGCATTTTGGGCAATAATCTTCAATTTAGTACAATAAGGTCGCCTAAGTTCAATTTTCTCTTACTTGTGTCTATTTTATAATCAATTTAACTTCGAGCCTTTACGAAAGAGCCTCACATGTGAAGTACCAATCATTAGTAAATTAAAATTGTTCATAGAAGAGCTTCAGATATTGCACAGTCAACATATTGGTCAATAACATTTCTTCTACATCTCTTTGTATATTGTAGAGTTGTCATAAGAGTGGTTCACATGTGTTGCACTTGTTATTTTATTGAAAATTTGAATGGGCGAAATCCTTATAACAATAGCCCTCGTGGCTTGCACCTCAATATTTTAGTGGATATCTGAATGGATTCAATTCATTTGAATTCGATTAACACAATTTTGTAGAAAACAAAAGCACGTGGTTTTGACCATCAAGAACTAAAGGTTGAGATCCATTTGCACATAATGTATAAGTTGAAGACCTCCACTTCAATTTTACCTCAAATTTCCCAAAGAGAAGTACTTAGGATTCCTTTGATTGTAAGTATGAAATTTACATGGAAAAAAATAAAATTTAGGAAATACAATTGTTTATAACTTATTTGCATGGAAATTGTCAATTAAACGTGTTTGATTGATTTAATTTTCAATTTAGAAAATATTATATTTGTCCATTTTTTATTATGAGAGTGGGTGTGAATTCCCTGAAAATTTTCCTTGATTTTTGAGAAAAATAAGATCATATGAGCAAAAGTAGGAAAATGTTTACCATGAACAAAAATGTCAATCAAATAACACAAAAGTAAGAATTTAGGTGGAAAAAGCACACCCTTGGAGTGTGTTTATTAACATGAAAAATATCACATAAAAAATAAAATATTTTCCTTGTTTTAAAGAAAACAAAAACATACTCATTCAAAAAAAAAAAAAAAAATTTCTTAAAAACAAGGGGGATTAGACTTTTTTTTCAAAAGTTAAAAACGTTTTTAGTTAAAAAAAAATTGCAATTTGGGGAAAAAATAAATTCAATCAAACGGACCAAGCTGTAAAATATTTTCTTCCTTTTTTACACACGGTCTCGCAGTCTGCTGCCGCCGCAGCTCTCTACCGGCCTTCGGGTTCTCTCCGAAATTTTTTAAGGTAATAGACACCAGCTTTCTCATTATTCGTTGCTTACTATTCACGGGTTTCTTATTATCTTGGACAAAATAGTAAAAGAGCTAATTGTTTCCTGTTTGATTTCTGGGGTGTGCTAAAGATTGGCTCAGAATTTCATAATTTTTCAAATTTTCCCATTTTAATTGAAACCCATGTTCCCTTCTTCATTTCATCATTTGCATGTTAAGAATTTTTATTTTTTATTTATTTCTTTGGACTATCACATGAGAAATTCTAATTCACACCCAGGCACATGCTTGTTTTAATGTATGTTAGAATGTGAATGCATGCATTTTGTGATTCTACTGGAAGAGTTTGATTTTGAAAAACCGTTTTGGTGCTGTTTCAAATAAAGTTTTTAAGGTAATTTGGAGCGCTATGACCGAAAAGGGAGGACAAGGGTTTGGGAACTCCAAAGGTGGAAAATCTGCCCATAAATCATCTGGTAAATTTTTATTTTTAAATGTTTTTTGTCAATTACTATTTAAGTTTTTTATTTATGATGTGTTCTTACCTATTTTTATGACGGCAAATGTTGCTAATTTCGATATTACTAGTTGTAGTCAGCGTGCACATTATTGTTTAGATTTTACATTATTTTTCTTTAAATCATTGTGATTATTGTTATTGGAAATTTGTTGAAATAAAAATATTTCAATAATTGAAAACTGTGTATTGGCGAGGGGACTTAGATATTGGCCCTTTATTTGGGATTCTTCTCACCCAACCACTACCTCCACCTCCTGTTTTGGTTTCCTGGCATTATCCACCGATCAGATCCTATAAGATCAACACCGATTGATATGTCAACGGAGATTTTGCGAGTGGTGAGGGGTATCGTTAGAGATCATGATGGACGATTTATTCGAGCTTTCTTTTCTTCCTACGGCGCTGCTAGATTCTTGAGGTGGAGCTGTGAGCCATTCTTGATGGTATCCTTATTGCCTATCGACTTGGACTCTCGTTTATGGATAGAGGCAGATTATTCTTCTGCGATCCACTGCATCATACATGGTGGAGGATCATGGTCCATCCAAGCTATTCTCAGATATATCAGACATTTGGTTTCCCTCAATCATGCTATGGTTTCCCATATCTTTCGTGAAGGAATTTAGGTAGCTGACTCTCTAGTTGTTGAGGGATGGGAACGGCAGTGCTATCTGGAGTATGGTCCTCTTAATTTGCCATGACTAGTGGCCTAGTATAGATTGACAGATCTGGGCTGCCTACTATTAGAGGCCTCTAGGTTTTTTGGTCATTAGATTAGGTTTGTACAGGAGGTAGTACCTTCTCATTCACTGCTTTAAAATTACATTTTGTGGCCTCGAGGATAGGTTTAAGCCCCTCTCATTTGTATACATTTATATTTTATTAAAAAAATGCCTGTTGGCGAAAAAATAAAAATAAAAATGATGTGGAACCTTCAACCCAAACCCCAAAACCTTTCCCTTCTATTCCAAAGTCGTTGCTCATTTCATTTGAAACATCTGAGGTATCAATTTCAAGAATGTGAAGCAAAAAAACTTTCTTTATCTTCAATATGATGAAGTACATGGCAATTTAGAGTGACCATAAGAAACGCTTTCTCTCATCCGCTAGTGGCTTATGTAGTGGTTAGCATTCCTAGTTCCTATCTGCTCCTTGTTCCCCTACTTCCAAGACTTGAGGCACTTGAAGAATCTTTTCCATTTTTCATTGATCTATGGTACTTGATAACTTAGAATGACTATAAGAACCTGCTACATAAATCTCAATATACCACACTCATGAATGATATTTTTTCCTTAGACATGTGACTCCTTAAATACATGAATGTATTATGTAAATAGAATCCGTGATCAATATGAATCTAGAAATAAAATGTATCTTATCTACGTGGCTTCTTTTTTAGGAGAAGCACACCAAACATGCTCTATATGTGTCGATTAATAAAACCAAAATTAAAAAGGGTACTATGAGAATAGTCAAAATATAGTTTGTATAAAATTGTCCATGAAATAATTTTCATCTCGTGCAGATTTTGGATGTTTTGGGTTTGGATTGGATGAAATCTTTGATAATGATTTTCATCTTATGGAGCTTTTAATCTAAGATATTATATATTATAGATGTAGATTAGTTCTGGCGACTCTGCATTGAATTGTGGTCGCGAAACATGGATATGAATTATCTCCATGTAATTACTTGGTGCTAGTCTTTTGTAACTAATAACTTGAATGAATTGAAATTTCACTATATAATTGCATTGGATTAAGAGCAGTCACCTTCTTGGAGAAGTTATAGAAAATAAAGGAAATCTTCATGTGTCGTTGAATGAATCAATTGTGTTGATTTTTAGTTCCTTTTCGCATTTATAGAGATTAGGAGAATGTTTTAACTTATTATTGTTGGGTGGAATTGTGGAAATGTAAAATTATGCATGATAGTCGAAATATATATTTGTACAATGATGTTGTGCAGCCAGTCGAAATATATATTTGTACAACTGAATTTATCCTCATATGTTTTTAAATTCGAAACCTCTATGTCACTGGTTTGGCGCTTTGTTTTGATATGTCATTTTCCTTGTGTTCTTTTACGTGCCACATCATCCTAGGGAAGGACAACGGCTCAGCAAAGTCGAAGGGAGGAAGAAAAGTTCAGTTTGAATCTGAAGGTTGAATTTATCTTACAGTTACTATGGATTTTAATTACTTCTCCTAAGGAAAAATACATTTATGTAATGATATGCCCTTTTTTTTTTTTTTTTTCAATTTCTTGAGAATGTTTCTATCAGTTGCTCTGTTAATTTAGTTATTTCAAATGCTTTAAATTCTTTAAGAGGCAATATTCCAAAATTTAATGTGAAGGTAGATACTATCTGCCAAAGTTTTGACCAATATCTTCCCGTGTTTGCCTTATTAATACCTCATGTTTTTTATGTGCAGCTAACTCTTTTTCCACTTGGTTTATTAAGTTTTGTTGTTGGAATTTGTACTGTAGAATATGTTTCGCGCTTTAACTGTTTTTCTAATGCACAAATTCTATTTATTAAGGTTCTGGTGATAAAGTCAGGAAAGGAGACAAGATTGCCAATGGCAGTAAGAGTTCCCAAGCAAAAGCACCTTCTACACAGGAGTGCAGACTTGAGCGAGGTCAGTGCTTGCAGTGAACCAGTTGTCACCATCCTCCCTCTTGCTCTCCCAATGACGTAAAAGTTTGTTAGTGAATTCCTAAGTGCATTGGAATTAATTTATTGTGTTGTTCACAGTAAAAACAATATTGATGGGAAGGATAGAAATTGAAAATCATCAAATTAGCCCATAAACTATTGGGGTGTTCAAATAGTTTTTAACTAATGCATTGGGTTTGGAAGGATGTTTTGTTGTTTATGAGATACAGACTGGGTTTTGTTTCTTTGTTGCAATATCGTATTTCAGGCAATAAATTTGGTCAATTTTTTTTTTCTGTTTTCTACTCTTGTAAAAGAGATCTTGATGCATGTGCAGAGCTTCCAGAAAATAGTAAATTCTTGATGGATTGTGAAGCTGCAGAAATCTTGCAAGGAATCCAAGAGCAGATGGTGATGTTGTCCGAGGATCCAAATATAAAACTCCCAGTGTGAGTAGTGCAAATTTAGCTTTTAATCCTTTTTTGCTTTCCTCTCCAGACGAGTACACTTTCTTGTTATGTTCATTTGTTTTATTTTCTTTTTATTTAAATATGTTGGATTGATCTAAAGTTTGTTTGTTCTCAGTTCATTTGATAGCGGATTGATGTATGCCAAGAGAGGCAGCTACCGTACAAAATCCCTGACTGTTGGAAAAATTCTTCAGTATCCTTCTCTTTGATCAATGCTAAACTTTTTCTTCTGCAACTACCAACTCTGTGTTGTTGTTTTGTTTATCCCTTAACTTAGATTAGGCCTCTCAAGATATACGGAGTTTCTGATGCTGAGGTATTGATCTCTGGCAGTTGATTTTTATCAGCATTTCCATCATGATGCATTTAAGTTAATTTCTGTGGTTGCAGATCTGCCAAATTGCCAACCTTCGCGCCGAATCTGTTGAAGAAGTTTTCTGTCTTATCCCGTCCCTGAAGGTATATATGTGAGAAGAAAAATAGGTGTTTGATTGCATTACTCACTTGTTTCAAGTCATTTTTACTTGATGCTTGTTATACAATAAGTTCGTGTTTGGTATGCAGAATTCAACATGATTGGACAATAAAATTAACAATATTTTAGTCTCTTTTCTTCCTTAATACTGACCTGTTCAATATACTTGCCAATTTAGCTTGCTCTAAAAATGACATTTATCGAATAATAAAATGAAATATTTGGTATGGAAGATTGGACACTATTGGGCAGTGTTAAAGAAGAAAAAATGTTGAATCTTTGTTTATGATATTGTTGAGAGACTTATCTAAAAGTGCATAATAAACATGCAAATGGTGTTTCATTTAGCCCGTTTGATTTGGCTAAAAATCATATTTTTAGTAAATTTTGATAAAAATTGATGAAACGTGTGGTTGAAAAGTTGTTAAATGTTGTGGGTCCTATAAAATGTGGGGTTGAAAATGGGTTTGAGGAAAAATGAGATTTAAAGAGGTGGGGGCCAAACAGGGCTTAGTTTAATAGTCAAGCTCTTGAACGAATCCACAGGTGCAACCATTCTCATTTTGTATTTTTTCCCAGGCAAAGGAAAACAAAATAAAAGAACCTCTTAGAATTGCGCTAGGTGAACTAACAAATCTTAGGGATGCACTGGACGAGCTGGCCAAGTTCAATGAGTCAGTTGCAATGGATTGACAAAATGCTTGGTAAGATCATTTCAACATCAGTTTCCATTTGTTTTCCTAGTAGGAATGACTGTTGCCCGTTTGTATGCTTATATTTTACGCTACTGTTTATGTTATCTTTAGCATGTATCGTTATTTTGGTCAGGTACTGCATAATTTGGGACTCTGTAGATGTGAATGTGGCTCCAGTTTTCATGAAAGTAAGGCACGCCACAATGTTAACGAAGCTTTCATGGTCTCTTTTTCGTAAAATGATTTTTACATTATAATATCTAGGCTCTAGCTCCTAGTTTCATGTAAAGACCAAATTGTCCAGGTTTTCTATTACTTTTAGGACAGAGTATCATGTGAATATGGTCTCAAATATTGGATGTTCTAATTAATGAAGTCGTTCTTCCCTTAATTTATCCTCAATCAGGACTCCCTCAATTATTGGAGCATATTTGTGCTTTCGAGTTATGAATTTTATTATGATCACACATTCATCTTATAGAAATTTTGTTTTTTAACGACTCGACATTCAGAACCACAATCATTCCAATGCTTTATTGACAATTAGAAGAAATTTTTTTGGTCTCACTTTTCTGGCAGACTGAATGGATCCTTCACGAAAATGTTGATGGTCGCCCTTAGTAAGTTCGAAGTAACACGTAAACTTGAGAAACTGGCAGTGCTACAAAACCGCCTGATTTTTATCATTATATATGTTTTTATATAAACACATGCATAATGAATAGCGACAAGACTTGAAATTAAGATTTTTGTCAACTTTGATACCATCTAAAAGCTCAAGAATTGGTCGTAGGTGATTTTCTAGAGTTGAGCTGCACGTACAAACAGGCCCCTACCAAGCAACACACATGAGGGGGGCTTGTTGCAATTTTTTTTTCCAAGTGGGCCCGCTGCTACAGTGAGGGGGCCTGTAAAGTCCTTGTGAAAGCTGCCTTGTACATGCAGCTTAATGCATATAAATTCAAGATAAACTCTGCCATGATTATCGAAGTAAAATGTATTGCAATTTTTATATTTTTTCCCTCTCAACCATAGCAAGATTTCCTGTGTGTTGTGTATTTGTTTAAAAAATCAAGTTACATGGATACTAAGTGTCACATTAAGTTTGACATTCTTTTGATGTGGCATTTTTTTAGACATTAATCTTGACAACACTTTAAACAATCGATAACACAGATTTTGATAATATTTAAGGGTGTCAAATTTGATGTACACCAAGTGTGTACAACTAGTTTAATCCTTGTTCAAATGCATGTAATGCAACTTGTTCATGCAAGACATATTTTTCTTGGTTACATGTCTTCTATGTTCACGAGCCTCCACGGCTTTAAAGATTTTAGTAAATGGGACATGATTATTAAGACTTGGGGTTTCAATCTTATTAAGAGAAGCAATTCAAATTCCTTGACATTATTAAAGAAGCTAAAAATCTTGTTCTGATGACCACGAGTGTCTTATAATCTATGACAATTGTATATTGTAAAATGAGATTGCTATACTATTTTTAAGTGGAAATTACCAAAATAGTTAATTTTTAGCTTTACATTTACAAAAATGTCACATTATTTTTGGTTAAATCAAGCAACATATCAGCTACATTGTAGGAGTTAACTAGGGAAATAGTCAGTATTCTCAAGGATAACATAACGGTTGTTTTAAGTAGTTAATAACATGATAGTACTTTTGGAAGTATTTATTTCACAATAAAAACGTATCGTGATAGTACTTTTGTGTAGCTTTTTACTTTAAAATGTTTTACAGTTTTTATTAATGATGCGTACAAATATTTTAGTTTGCAGTAACCGTTGCTTAAATATTGTGTGCTCCTAGGTGAAATTCAATGGTAACATAGCTGAATTTGTTAATTTTGCAACCATTATTCTTATGTGTAGACTATATTTATGATCTCTAGTTTTTGTCAGTTGTTCACGTGATAATATATGTACATAATGCTGTGTATTCGAATATTTGTTACATTAAAATTTTTAGTGTATTTTACTCAATTGCAATGAACTGTCGAAAATTATTCATACAATTTGTTATGACCAAGTGTCGAGAATGACAGAAACAATTCGTTGGGAACGACAGATGAACTATCAAGCTGTCATGCAATATGTTGTCTATGGATCCATATTTTACTTATGAAATTGAATATATATTTGCCTGTCTTTGAATGATGTGGGAATGATAATGATAATGTAAGTTGAAGATGGTAATGTAAGTTGAGAATGTGTTGGGGAACACTGTAAGTTGAAAGTACCTTTATGCAAGATATGTACGTTCCAGTGAAATCAATATGTTATAAACATGATAAAAAAGAATAAAGATAACGAATATGTTAAATTGTTGATTTTTTTAAAGTACAAAAAACACTCCACCTCTAATATTGTAGTAAATATTTTAATCCAATTTTGTAATTGTCATCCTCTTTTTCTCCATAGTAATACGATTTAACATTAGTGGTGTTTATTATTTATGCGTCAATTGAATCCACTATTTACAACTTACAAACAACGTGTTTTGTTGGGATTAAAATTGGATTTTTAGTGGATTGTGATAGCAGTTTTTGAATGGTGTGGTTGAATTATTTTTAACGGTAGTAGAGTTTGATAATGACAACATAAGGAGCAATAATAGCCGCAAACAATAATGACAACAAAGCTATAATATAACTTGAAAATGTACAACGCAGTAGGAGGAACATTCGACATACAATGTCAACAACGACATTGAGCGGTTGTTTAAGAAACTTATATGACATTGGAGGTTGAGCAAACTTTTCTCTATGCGACATGATGAATCTCAAGTGATGACTCGTACATGAAATGTCAAGATTGCAAATGTGAGAATTTTGCACATTCCATATGTCGACATTTAATTCCATCAAATTGGAGCTTTCGTTAGATCCATATAATAGTAAAAAGGAAAATAAAGGGTTTCAACAGTTTTCAAATGTCAAAGTCGACAATTAAATTGTCTATCCCGATAGTGAGTAAATGTCGAGTTCGACAGTTCAAATGTTTAACCTGACGGTTTCGACGACACTACTCGACAGTTGAATTGCCATAAATTTCAGAGAAGCTTGAAAACCATGTATTTAGTTCTTTGGAAGAAATTATTGAAAATATTAATGGTGATAATCAATTTTCAACTACAACATCACAATATCTTCCCACAAATAAATAAGGAATGACTCAATACTTCATTAAATATGAAATCTTTCACATTTTTCTAGAGGATGTTGATATTTTTTCCATTTGAAGAATATATCATAAATAAAACATATTAATGAATAAGAGATTCAAAAAGTTCAATTAAATATATCCATGTTGTATTAAACATTTAAAGTAGTAAACTATGAAACGAAAATATAAACAATTTCTAGTAGCTCATCTTTAAGATTGATCAATAGTTTTCCCTTGTTGATGATGGAATTAAGATGAAGAAGAAGGTATGATTTGTGTTCATACATGCTTGAGTGTTTTTTAACTTTTCACCCTTTTTTAACAAAAAATCATATTACATAATATAATAATCATATCTTAAATGTTTAAAATATATAAAACAAATCATCATATAATATAATAATCATATCTTAAATGTTTAAAATATATAAAAAAAATTATTATATCACACCATTAATTGCATTTAAATCAAGCATTTATCACTCCTAAAAAAGTGTCATAAACGGTAAAATGGACATTTTGCATAAAAAAGTGACATTTTTGGAAGAAATTGGTGCAAATGAATTTTTTTTATGCATTTTCAATTTTAGTGACATTTATGTAAATTCCCCTACTATTAACATATTTGTTACATTCAATTGAACATGATTTTAAAAAAAATTAAAATTTTATTAATTTGTATACAATATTTGGAGAACAGATTGACTAGATTTGAGTGAAACGTCAAAGATCACACAAGCTTAGAGTTTAATTCCATCTCATATTGCCAAGTTTATAGCCAGCAGACTTTTCTTGACTCGTCTCTTTTACATCTTTAACAAGAAATCTGAATACTCCTCTTACCCTTCTACTAACCTTTTTCCCACTCTGATTTCAACCCCTAACAAATCCCCCATTTAAAATGGATCTAAACCATACCCACTTAGCAAAAATGGATATACTTGTCCAAGAAGAGAGAGTGTGAAATTTCAATGGCCAGTTTACTTCATCATTAATCACAGACAAACCCCAAACATGTTCATACTTCATTGGAAGAAAATTTTCAATGGGAACATCGTACATGCTGCCCAAGTCCATTGACTGCATTGACTTGTTGTTTGAAAAATGAAGCTTAATAAATGAACGTGCCTAAAATTCATTTCTTCATTGACTGCATCGACTTGTTCCCAACCCTCTCTAACGTGTTGAACGTGTTGGGTAGTAGATTTATAACATATGGAAACTTAATCAGAAAGGAACAGAAAAATTACAGAAATGATCGATCCCCTAATATCGAACAACAATGATATTTTGGCTCGGTTGACATGGCTTTTGAAAAATTAAAAGCTACTTCTATAACTAAAAAGATACTTTTGAACGTGTTTGAATAATTTTTTGAAAGTGTTTTGTCTGATTAAAAGAGCTTTTAAAAGAAACTCTTACATTGCCAAACAAGCCCTTTGTTATTTGATCCAACCAACACGCCATTGCTTCTACAGGGAATTTGGCGTTTCTTTAAAAGGTTCTATAAAATATATTTCTTGTAGCTTAGAAGGCATTATAGGAACGCATACTTTGCAACTATGAAGGTGCAGACTTTCTCTTTCGTATCTCGGTTATACTTCTCTGGATTTTACAAGTTTTTTGACATTCTTTTAATTTCTTTCTAGCAAAAAGCTGAATTCCAAGTAGAGATGCGTTGCTCCAAGTGTCAAAAGAAAGCCTTGCAGATTGCAGCAGAAACTTACGGTTTGTATTTACATACTTAATTCATCAGCTTTGATTCAATTTCATATTCGTCTGCAACCATGTTCTGAAAATCTTCAGAACATCAGATTTTTTTCCTTTCTTTCTTGATTATTATTACAAGCAGCCTCGCATTCCTGATTCTCGAGTATTGGAAACTGTTAAATCACATGAATCCTTAGAATAGAATTCCAAATCAGTACCTTTCGTTCTACTAATATTTTGACAAGAGTTGTGGTTTAGATAGAACGAAGCACAGAAAGTTGCAAGTTGCGTTTAGAAGAATAATCCCTTACTATGGCTTTTATGGTAGATTGAGTCGATGGTTTGAAAGCCGGGGATTAATCCCATGGCAGAGTAAGTTGTTTGATTGAGCCCACATCTCCAACTCATTTAGCCCCCGTTTGCCTTACAAATTTTCAAAACTTATTCTTCTTCAAATTCATTTTCAACCACACATTTCATAGGGACGACAACTTGTCCACAATTTTTATTAAATTTTCAACTGATATTTCATT